AACGATGGTTTCAACGTTTTCGTTCTGGTGTAGAGGTGGTCGAAGATGCGCCACGCTCCGGGAGGCCTGTCGTCGAAAATTGCTATAAAATCGCTGAATTGGTCGAAAGAGACCGGCATAGTAGCAGCCGTCGCATCGGTCAAGAGCTGGGCATAGTCATCAAAAAAAATTATATGAACAATTGAAAATTCAATAAAAATACCGCAAGACTTTTTTGACAACCTATTATATACGCACCCAATGATGATACAAGCATTATCCTTTGATCCTTATGAAGATTATTGTTTCCAGTGGATATAAGCTCATCTTTAATTGTTCGTTTAAAAGCAATCAGGACACCACCTCCTGTCTCTCATCCTGTCGAAGTACCCCTGTCCTTCCTAAGTGTGATATGGGAGCTGAGTAAAGCCAGGACTCTGTGATGCATATTACGTCATGCAAGCTAGTTGCCGATGTGGTTAGGAACTCGCTCAGTTTTGTCCTTAGACCGCGCGTCTTCTGGTAGAATACGTGTAGCTGCTTAAAATTTCCTTTCTTCGACTTGGCGAAAGTTTGTATTAATAATTCTATTCATGCCATTCACGTATTTAATGGTTTTGTTTTTAACGCCACTGTCATTTAGCAATCTAAGTTTTTCCCTCAGTGATTGCAATTGTGACTGCTGAGCCGGAGTGAGATCTGACTTGAAGGAGACTCGTGTGTCAGGATCAGGTTTGGATTGGCATGAGTGGCAGACTGTGTTTCAATCATCAAAGGCCTAGGCCAATCGGGTGTTGGACGCCCTAGCCTGCGTAGCTTGAACGATTTCACATTGTCATGGAGCTCTTTGGGAATAACTGATGATAACCGTGATCTATCTTCTTCTAGACGTACTTTACCGTTTATCGCCTTGGWTTCGGTAATATTTAATGCGATGACATTGGCTTCCCGCTTCTTCCGCTCATTGATCTCCGTAATAACCTCCTCTGGAGGAAGTGGAGAGAATGAACTTAGTTTGTCTTCTATCTTCTTCTATCACGCAACTCGTTTAACTAAATGTGAACACTTTTTCGACATAGTCTCGTTCAGTTTATTTATCACACTCCTTATATCTGAGAGGTTACCCTCAATAGACTGCTTAAATTTACCAAACTTCGACTCAACTTGATGAGTAAATTTTCATACTTATCGAGGGACTCGTCGTCTGTGACGTCACTGTMATCCTCATCTAACTCAGAATCTATCTGGGCATCTGATATCCTTACACTAACCTCTCAAAGACACTTGTCGCATTTCCAAATTGTTTTATTTTTATTAGCTGTAGCCCTATATTCTTCGCTGCTGAGCCCGGTACATCGCGCGTGATGCCAGTAACTGCATTGAATGCTGCTGGAACCTTCTCGAATAACCTTAAGACAAGCTCATTAAGCACATTTCTGGTTGACTTTTTAGAAGGCATAATCACCGTATTTATTGTTCACTTCGATTACTTTCACCTAACTTAACAAATCGTCAAGTAAWTAAATTTAGATATTTATAAAGCACCACAACTAATAAATGTTCGGCACAAAATTTAGCACATGTTTACTTTTAGCCCTCTACGAACATATCACAAATCGAGAGGAATATCTTTTGGTGGATACACCAAATGCTYACCATTTTAAGTTAAGTTTTAAATAGCATACATAAAGAGGAATGATCAATGTGTTTTTTATGGAACCAATCCACCGTGTAAAAACAGAATWGGTCTTTTGGACTATATTAAGTCCTTTTGACTTTTTATTACATACATACCTCCTTCATTTCTACATACTTCTTTTTTTGTTTTATAAAAGACTTACGGTAATACAATTACTAATTAATCCCACATTTTCTTTCCTTTTTAGCCTGCTGCCAAAGATTATCAATGGCGGCATCGCCGGTATTATCGGTGTCTCCTGCGTCTTCCCTCTGGATTTGGTCAAAACTCGTTTGCAGAATCAACAAGTGGGTCCAAATGGTGAGAAGATGTATAAAAACATGTAAGTGACATAGAATATTTAATTTTGTTTACTTATTTAAATCATTGTAAACGAATATTTTTGCTCTACCGTAAAGGTTTGACTGCTTCCGCAAGACATATCGTGCTGAGGGTTATTTTGGCATGTATCGTGGTTCGGGTGTCAACATTCTGCTTATTACGCCCGAAAAGGCTATAAAACTGACTGCTAACGATTACTTCCGTCACAAGTTAACCACCAAAGACGGACATCTGCCCATGAGCAGTCAAATGTTGGCTGGCGGTTTAGCTGGTGCATTCCAAATCATCGTTACGACTCCTATGGAGTTATTGAAGATTCAAATGCAGGACGCTGGCCGTATTGCAGCACAAGCTAAATTAACGGGTAAAACGGTGGAGAAAGTTTCAGCAACTAAATTAGCCTCACAGCTGCTCAAAGAGAAGGGTATATTCGGTCTATATAAGGGTATCGGTGCGACCGGTGCGCGTGATGTAACCTTCTCAGTAGTTTACTTCCCGCTGTTTGCTACATTGAATGCGCTTGGCCCGCGTAGAAATGACGGTTCAGGCGAGGCAGTATTTTGGTTTGTACACGTAGTGGATAGTTTGCATTAAATCAGTAGAAATATAAATATTTATTATTAAATTGCAGGTGTTCCTTCTTATCTGGTTTGGCAGCTGGTTCATTTGCTGCGCTCTTTGTGAATCCATTAGATGTGGTGAAAACACGTCTGCAGGCGATTAAGAAAGCGGATGGTGAGAAGGAGTTCAAGGGTATTGTGGATTGTATTAGGTATGTGCTAGTAAATTTAAAAAAGTTATTTATTTATTAATTGCTCCTAATATTGTTGTTTTTCATTTAGCAAAACCTTCAAGTACGAAGGCCCAACCGCATTTTTCAAAGGTGGTCTGTGCCGTATGATTGTGATTGCACCACTATTTGGCATTGCACAAATGGTGTACTTCCTTGGTGTAGCCGAGGCGATGTTGGGCATGCAAAAGAAGAACTAAGCGCACACAGARAAATAGTTATGGTTACTTTAGTTGCTAGTGAAACATTAAATGAAGTTAAAAGATCATTATAAATTTAGCACTTAAAAAAGGCAGTGATGTTAGCAGATTAAAAAAATAGTACCAAACTGTAATCTATACATTCAGAATTGTATGTAATATATAAATAAGTATATGTCATGCATTTAAYGAGTGCTGTCCATATATACTCCATGCATAAAAAAAATGTTCAAATTTAAAGACATAAATGTGAGCGCAATATGTACGTAAATTGCGATTGTTGTTGGAAAAATGTGTATGAATGTCATAAAATATGCTTAAATTTAGCATTAATAATACAGTGAAAATAAAACAGTCAATTCATATATGAAACCTTAAACCAGAACAAACACATGCTTAAGCGAATTTACAGCTAAAACGTTATTTGATCTACATTTATTACATTCTTATCTAAATATGTACATATATGTATATGTATGTGCATACTCTTTTTTAATTACAAGTAAAAGAGCCCATATGTGTTGAGTTCCACAAAATCTTACCATTACAATTGAAAATATGACAATAAACTGCAGCTGCTGTAGATGCATAGCAAATAAAAAAACAACAAAATAGCTAAAATTCTATTAGCAAAAGTGAGAAAATTATGAATTTATAAATTAAACTATATTAACTGTAATGCTAAAGTATACACTATATATACGAACATAATATTAAACGAAATTTCCTAATTTTATTGGCTTTATTTTAAATTGAGCACTTTTGTCATCTGCTCAGAGCTATAAATATCAAAAACCATAGTATTTCATGCAATTTATTACCCTTGTTGTTTTATCTTTGTTGTTTTTTATGTATACATGTACATAAACAGTTAGTGCAAAGTTAATGTGGCTTAATGTGCATAGGAGCAAATATTATTGCTGCTTTAAAAGTAATTACATTTAAATAAATAAATATTTTGATTGCCTCATATGTGTTTTAAAATATATAATGATAAATATAAATAAAATTTTGTGTTTAAATATGTACAAATATAAATTTTTTTCTCACTAGTGTATAGACTAATAAACAGTTTTCTTTGACGTTACAAAATTTCTACACTGCAATCTTTTTCATGTTTTTGTTATTTTAGTAGGGAGTGGYTATCGGATCAGCGTCGTGGCATTTTTGATTTTGATTTTTTTCTAATCAGTGTGGGCTGAATTGCTTTAAGGCAGTATTTTACGAGGACACTTACGTATACTTGTAGAAATTAAACCCATTGTTGTAACACCAATGCTTGTATGATCCGACCACTTTCACACAACATGTTTCCTGGGCATCTCGTTAGATGATCTCGATGACAGTTGCGTATTGCCACCCACTAACACTAAAACACGAAGCAAAGTAAATACATATTTTGAGATACAGCATAATTTAGAAAATTTCGTTCGAGAACTCGGGTTTCGTTCGAAAAAGGGTGTTTGGTTTTGTAGCCCAGTGATTAAAGAATTATTTAAAGGAGAAGTTGAGCTAATACCTGTAAAACAAGGCCCAGGTTAAATACCTATGTACGTACATATATCTTCAATACCTTGATACAATTGTGCTTGTTKTAATATTACTATTAATATATCTTCTTTGAATACTTACACACGCATTCTCTCTTCTTTAATAGAAATTATAAAAAACATTTATATTTCATTCTTCTCAATAAGTTTATTTTCAAATAATTAGTAATTTACTTATTTTTAGTCAAATATCGCCTAATTTCTCTCTCCAACAGTCAGATAAATCAGTTACATTTTTTACATATTAAATATTTCATATAATTTAGCTGACACACACCAGCAACTTGAGAACTTAGTGAAATTTTTTTAACAACTACATGAAACTAGGTAGAAAACTAGAATTTTTCATGAAGCTTTATATGTAAATGTTATTAAAGGATTTCAGAGGTTAGGAGATGTTTCAATTATTGTCTCATCGTACGTTAGGTTGTCACACTAAGTAAATTAAATAAATTTGTATATAAGTAAATAAGCAGAAKAATATCAAATATTGTTAAATTAACTGCAAAAATTATATATATATTGCATAGGTATGTCAGTTTCGCTCTCCTTCCTGCTTTTAACTATAAATTCTTGAAATGTTTACTTTCTTACATCGGCATATCACAACAATGCGTTACTCGCTATATCAGTTGCAGTCATTTAAATAACATCCGCCGGACGGTTCGTCGATACACCAGGCTCTGCGCTGTCATTGACTGTTTCATTGCTTAGATCTGCATATCGTCCACGCATCAAACGTGCTATTAGTGATCTATACCACTCAATAAATATCGCATTTCGATAAGCAATAGTGCCCATTTCCAGTATTATGAAGCCCATTAATGTTATGAAATTGAACCATTCCCATTCCAACATGAAGGCCATCCACCAAATGAGTAGCACGCGTAAGCCATCGGCCAGTAATCGATTCGCTGATGATGAATACTTCACAATCGTTAGTGAAGCAAAATTATAACAASCACTGGAGATTACAAAAATTATTAAAGGCGCCCATAATGTTGGATTACTGCGGAGTTGCGGTATAATATCGCCAAGATCGTCGAAAACTCCTCGGCTGTTATGGTTAAGTGGTACTGGCGCTGGTAAGAAATTTAGACATACGCCCACCAAAACAGTGATTAAGAGACCGAAGATGCCTTGCCAACCTGTAGCCAACAAGGTTGGTATATCCGTACCTTTAAGGCACTTTTCATCATACACAWATTTAGCAGCGTGGAAAATTTGTGCGAAAAGTACGAGTAAGTTACCGGTTAATACTGCATTGCTATCCCAGTTTGGCAATAAAATGCGATCATATGCGACGCGTTGTACATCAATAGATAATATTACCATGATACCGCAACTGATGGTGAACATAGCCATCCAGTGACGTGCAGTCAAAGTTTGATTAAGATGTATGGCACCAAATATTCCAACAAATATTAGAGCAGAAACTGTAATTATACATTTGTWCATATTTAGTTAAAAATAAGAAAAATTGTMAATTATAAAATTAATCAAGAAGCTATAATACCGTTCAGAGATAAATTTTTAATKTATAAATGAACAATATGTTCGGAGACTGTAACAATGCCTTTGAAAAATATCCATGGTGATTCATTGTCAAATATAAAGTTTTTCATATAAGAACTTGAGTTTAATGGGTCAGATTGTATGACAGCTACATAGTACATATATGCTAAGGTCCGCTCTAAACGATTTCTTTGGAATCGTAAAGACATCTCACCAAATAATGTTTTTCACACAAGAACTTAGTGTTGTTGTTGCTTCAACGGCAGAAAACATCTCTTAAGTGATTTGGAGGAATGCTGTCCAGTTGACACTACTACTACCTGGCCRGATAAAAATCCGTRTCTCTCCCGGTTACATAGACYCGACTGTCGGTKGAACGACCATACAAGAATTTCATGAGCAGATTTTTTAAAAGAATGGGTGCGGACAATATTTTATATCGATATCTCAAACAATGAAAGACTAGTTCGCGTATATGCAGACGGACTCACAAACAGAGAGACGGACATGGCTAAATGGCTCAGCTCATCACGCTGGTCATTTATTTATATACATTATTTTTAGKTGTTACAAATATAGTAGGGAAACTTAGTATATCTTGTACATACTTGAAGATTTGGTAATTAAAGAAGGGACTAATAGTACAGTATATTTCATGTAAGGTACTTTCCCTTYAGAAATCGGTATTATGTATACTATACCAATATATTGCTATTTTTTATATCAAACCTACACCTTACTCACCCCTTAGCATTTGAAAGCTGGACACATAAGTTAAATAGAGCCCTGTTAATAATATAACAGAAGCTATTACATCCAATGCAGCTGGCAGAAACAATTGCAGCGGTGAAAATTCACGTCCGCCTCGTGTTAACACATTTTCACCTTCAGCACCCGTCTAGAAAATTTATTTTTATAAATTATAATCGTATCTTCTTTAAAATAATGAAGTCTCTTATCACCACCACTCAATCGTATTACTGATTATGTACATCCATAAACACATTTAAGTTTACATATATGTTGACAACTTACACCGCGCCGTTGAAGAAAAAAATATGCAGCTTTGTAAAAGACGAAGCAAAGAAATTGTCCTAAGAACATGAGGGCAGTTTGAACCACTGGATGTTGGAAACGACGCCATTTTCCATCACTGCACTCGCCTTCCAAAGTGTCACTCCATCTAAACAAAGACAGTTTATATATATAAGTATAAATATTATKTATGCCTCTAAGGTTTAGATAACGATAAAGAAGTTCAATAACACAATTTACGCAGTTGTACTATAAATATGCACTTACTTTAATAGTAGAACGTTCAAAGTTCCTGTACAAACATATAGTAGTGGTAAATACATCATCTTCTCCTGCGATGCCGGTCGTTTAAGTAATTGAACCTATGTAATTCGCAATAACTCCGGTTTGTAAAAAATTGCTCTAATTTAATTACAATTTCCCTATTTTTCGTTGTAGGTTTTCTTGATTGCTCTCTTGCAGTATTCGGAAAATAAAAGTCAGGAGAAGAAAATAACAATGCAAAATAAAACCAGAAAACAACAGCTAGACAACAACAATTTGCAGAGATATTTATTTTTACAAGAGTTGCCACTTTAAATTCAGAGAAACAACAGGGATGCATTAAACTGAAATGTGAATAAATGCATTCAGTTCACAATGAAAATAATATTTATCACAWATAATCGGAAGCGGAAACAAAACATATTTTCAAATTCTCATACTGGTAAGAGTTAGAACTATTTATTTATTTCGAAATGTTAGGTTCCAAAATGGGAGCTTGCGGAAACATTTATATAGATTTTCGAAAAAAACGGGATTTTTTTTAAATATCAATATTAAAAGTCAAAATTCATAAAAACAGCTATATAAATTTCGTTAAAATTCACAGAACGGTTTTCGAGTTTGCACAGTTCATAAAAAACATTTTAAGTCTTGAACGCGCGTTCAAGAGATCCTTTGTTAATTGTCGAATAACTCGAAAAATATTTGTCGGATTTACTTAAAATTTCCAGAGAATATTTCTCATATRTTATACCTTAAGAGAATGCGAAAAAAAATTAAATTTACTCCTAACGTCATAAAAGGTGTTTCGAATGTATTCCGAATCGGTTACATCAGTTCATTACATCTTAAAAATAAAGTAAATGAAAACAAACAATAAATCAAATGAAATTATATATTTTAATATACCAATCATCTTCAAAACATATCACAGGATTTATATTAATTTACAGTTCTTTTACCTTGAACATATGTATTTTAAAATTAACTTAAAATGTATATGGAAACTGAATGAATTGGAATTGCATTGTCCAAAAGTGTCGTATTCTGCAGAATGGAATTTCACGATTTCACCTCCGTTTCGTTACGTCCATTTGGACTGAAAAGGAAGGACAGCATAAGCCAATAAATAAAAAAAGATAATATTTTTGTTAAAAACGGCCACACCAAACATTTACTGCTATCAAAAGGATTTTAGCTACTTGCAACTCTCACCTGGTGTTTGAAACAAGAAGTGTATTGTGTATAAAATATAATTAATTTGGGTACATGTTTTGTTGTGAATGTTCAGTGATTTATGTTGTCAGATTGCATGGAAATACTAAACCACTAATTCTCTATTAAAGTTCGTCCTTCTCAAGGGTATATGTTACTTCCTCCACCGTACCCAAGCGCACCGTCTCAGCTTCATGTATAACGTCTCCTTGGTTATCGGTTGCATTTTGTTGTCTTGGCACATATTCCACGCTGTCTGTGTCACTTTGATATGAAATGTTCAAGTCGGACGYTGCTGTTGAAGGGTCTGGACTTGTAAGTGTGATTTTGGAACCGCGTGCAACTCTGTGTAAGCAAATTTGTGTGTATTTTTGGGTATTGTTGTGAAACTTGTTACTTTAGTGTTATTCAATTTGTCGTAAAGTTATGATTATTTGAGAATAAATAACTATATTTATGTATGTATAAGATTTAAAGGTGTAGAATTAATAGTTGTGAATTATGTCGTTTGAATATTCCAATATTCCTATTATATGTGTATGTTCATTGACTAATATACATATTACAGTATAATTCATACATACATACACATTTGCATTGTGTGCTTACTGTTATCACAATCATACATATGTAGTATATGTATACCTTATGTACATTGCGTTTGTTTGCTTGGCATTTAAGCTTATTTGGTTATCTATTGGCGATGATGCGTGTTGGTTCCTCGCAATTTTTGCGGATGTCTACATAATACATTTATATATATATATATATTTGGATAAACTTGTGATGATATTTAGCATTGCAGAAAAGCTTTTTGTGAAATAAATTTATATTGTATATATATACGTAATTTTGAAAATTACCTGTCACGAGTTTGCATATTTGCTTCCACATCCAAATTTCGCGGCTGACGGAAATCACATTCCAGCGAGAATGCCGAATCACCAGGTGTAATCAGCTCAGGATCATTTTGTATGACAACAATATTAGAGTAGAGTTCGCCATTCTTCAGCGTTTGACATTGGTCCAATTGGAAATTCATCTCCAAAGTACGTGAAGTTTGTGTACTTGGCTTAACAAAGCAAGGTTCACTTTGTTTATAAAAACTGCCACGTGTATACATCACGCCAGAGAAAGGTTTCTCCGTCTCCAGCATAACGTTCATAGAATTGGAACCGCACTTGAGATTGACCTTTTGTATACCCTGATCTGACCCTTCTATTTTGAAGGTGTCCGATAAGTCTTGTTGCCAGATTTCTGCAAAAAATTATAATAAATAAATACAATRTAATAACGTACGAAAACTATATGAACAATAGATATGCGGAAATAAACCAAAGGATAATAAGCGCTAACAATTTTTACTTCGGGCTGAACAAAAACTTAAATCGTCGTACGCTCGATAGATCGAGGAAAATTTCAAACTACCGCACATTGATTGCTCCTGTGCTAACATACGCTAGCGAAATGTAATGCCGAAGAAATCAAACTAGAAGTATTTGAACGAAAGGTGTTACGAAGAAATTTTTGGAGGTTTTTTGTGATGATGGCTTATGGGCTGGCCACACTTGGCTGGATATGTTATTCGCGATAATATTTAACGATAATAATCTTTCAGAACATCGTAGTATTGAAGGACGTGGATGTGGTTTAAAACTTTTTGGAATACAGTGGACGTGGATAAATTTGGTTCATAGCATTATCATGATATTTCAATGTGGACAATGTGAAAATGAAAAGTTCTTTTTTACGTTCAAAAATAATCGAAATCGGACCATAACTTTTCACGCCCCCAAATAACGAATATGTGGGCTTCTGTCAATATGGCTGACTTTTTACCAAAAATGGGTTAATATGTAAGTTATATTAATTGAATACTACTTCTAGCCCTCATATTGCTTATGTAATAATATTCAAACTTACGGTTAACTTTATTCCATATATGTCGATTAATATGTGAGATATTCTAATGCAATTCAAAAGCTTGTTGGTGGTATTTTTTGTGTCCTGATTATTATTAAAATAGTCATTCTCAAATTGCAACATTTCATGCTCGTTTGCCATTTTATGGTCATAATAATCGTCCAAGTGTATTCGATGAAGCCATTGGACCACTGCAAACGTCGTAAATTTGCTGATTTCRCCTTGGGACAAATTGAAAACTATCACGTTTTTTTTTTAAGAAAATCATCTTCGATGAGGCTCACTTTCATTTGAGTAGTGTGACAAATAAATAAAACTGTAGATTCTGGTGCGAAGAAAATCTACAAATTATTAATGAACAACCTTTACATTCACCTAAATTAACAGTTTGGTGTGGTTTTTGGTCAGGTGAAATCATGGGTCCGTACTTTTTTCGAAATAAARCTGGTGACAACGTTATAGTCAATGGAGCACGATATAGATCGATGGTAACCAACTTTTTATGGCCGCAATTGGAACAAGTTGATCTTGTAAACATTTGGTCATGACGGGGATAAGTGCCACACAACACGCGCAACAACCGAATTATTGGGAGAAAAATTATGAGATTTGATTATTTCAAGAAATTTTGGCATTGAATGGCCTCAAAGAAGATGTGATTTAACACCATTCGACTACTTTTGTGAGGTTGTTTGAAGACATTGGTCTTTAGCAATAAACCAGACTCTCTTCAAGCTTTTAAAGTTMATATTGAACGTGCTATTCATGACATACGACTAGATTTAGTGGAAAAAGTACTTGATAATTGGGTTCATCGGATTCGTTCCTGCAAAGTCGTGGAAGACATTTGAAATATGTTATATTAAAAAATGAATTGTATCGATTGTACTTTACACTTAATAAAAAATATTTGAATTTCCTTAACAATTTGTATTTTTTTTATAGGAAATTATGTCACTCTTTTTSGAAAACTGTGAATATGGATTTTTCCGCTGGAACTCCGCAAATTTAAAAAAAGGTAACGTAGAATTTTTCCATTAAGTTAAGTGTTTACGAAATATTCATCGATAAAAATCAATGCTTGTCAAAAAAAAAAAGAAATAGAAAAAAGAGAGCATACATAAGTGTAACACCTAATTCGCATAACGATTAGAGCCTGCTAACCATTAGCACCGATTGAGTTCTAAAAAAAACTTTTACAGTTAAACTTTCTGTACTGATTTAATAAATACCGCGTTCTGGATTTTGAAAAATTAAAGAGCAGTTTTTCTTCACCCAGAATTAGAATCACTTTTTACCTTGTAATCAAGAGCTTTTTGGCTTGACGATGAAATATTTACCGAATATATATGTACATACATACATAACATATATTTAAAGTATAAAATATTTGATAAAATTTTATCTTCTTAACTGGTCCAATTAATTTTTACCAAATATTTGAATATATCTCGCTACTAGATACTTATACTTAGACTACTTACAAAAAGTGCTAAACTTTTATTATAATATATCATTTTATATGTATGCAAATGAATTTATTCTTTTAAATTGTTAATTTAGCATTTAATAAATCTTTTCCACTTGCCAAATAATATTATTTAAGTAAATATTTCGAACAATGCTCCTTTGTCATATTAAAAAATAACAGTACTTTTATAGAAAATACGGTAAAGCCATTAAACAACTATATTGTGCTTTTTTCATCTACAATACACTATCAATAACAGCACCGCGTTTCTGACACTTTCTTTTGCTTTGTTCTGCTTGTTGACGTTTACGCGGCCAGAAATCCGGTTTCGCGCAACTAAATTCTTGGTCAAGAACAATTGTTGACGTGCTTAGTACATATTAAACCCGTTTTATCTRATGCACATATGTATTTTCAAAAAAAAAAGTAATATTTAATAACTGTTTGATTACCTGCATTACTCTGTTCTTTGTTTTTATCATCACTTGAGACATTCAATACCAAAAGGCAGAGGATACTGATTGTAAGGAATAAAGCACGCATTTTTGCCAAGATTATTTTTTATTTTATAAATGTCACTTCTTAACGGAGGCTTCGTGACAACACAAATACACTGTATAACGAGAGGATAGTTGCCGACAATGATTTTCGCAGATTTTATTTCCCGTGACTATTGACTATGCGCTTAAATGCAAAAGTAACAACTGAAGACAAGCGCGCCGGTTGCAGAGAATATAAAAGCCAGCGCTGGTTGCCGGTGGTAATGTTCGGTGGTTGCACGAGTGATGACTTAACCGCAAACAATACGCCAGCGGTGGASAGGTGTCAGCGGCAGTATGATGTTTTTTCACGCTGGCCATATATGTATGTGTAAAAGAGAAAGAAGGAAAGAGAAAAGTCAAGAAGTTGATATGCTCCAGGGGGCTAAATATTCGTTAATATATGAGTTGAACAGACGAACTCTTGGTGGCTAGTGTGGAAAAAAAAGAGCAGTGATAGTGGACCCGCTACCAACACGACGTAATGCGGATGAACGATGGAYTGAATAGTTGATAGCTGGTAAGTTGTAAATGTACACAGCTATAAATAAATGCATGGGTATATAACTGTCTGCAAGCATCGCCAATAATTAAGAAATACGTGTCTGTTGCACAAATGTAAAAATCAGTTTGTTTACATTTGAAATGCACATAAAACATATACCGGCATATACAAATATAGATTTATGAGCAAATTTTTATTACAGTACGCTTATTTAACTCGGTTGTGCTAAAAACAGTAACGCATGCGCACATATTTCGCAATTATTGATGCGCTACGTATTTGCTGCAATTTACTAGAAACATCGGTAGTTAGGAGGGATATACTATACACAAAAAGGATATGGATGCACCAGACATATGCGTTTTCACCCAAAGTTGCAATTGTAATTAGGTTATACACGTTTTTGTGCATTAAACTTTGTGTACTTTAATAATCTACGATTCATTTTGTAATATTTTTGATTCTGTTCACCTAACCGATTTCCAGCACGTCATATGAATATTTCMATCGATCGCTTCAGACATTTCGGGAAAATTTTCGTTACCGACGAAATTAGGTTAAAAAATTCTTCCTTCCTTGATTTTTGACCTSCTTTGACGTKGTTTTTCGRCAATGGCRTSCAGYAGCTGGTAGTCGGAAGCATTGTTTTATAGACGTTAACGCTTCGCTGTTTTYGAAAAAATTGAGTAATTTTTGRGATGAATCGTGCTTTCACTTTTTACCGAATAGTTTTTCGAAATGGTTTTCATTGATCCTTCCGATATTCCAACGATGCCAGTAAGATCTCTGCCTGTTAAGCGTCGTTTTTCAAGCAGCAATTCCTTTATTTCATTGACATGTTGATTATCCGCCGATGTTGAATAATTTGTATCAATCAAAACCACTTGCTCGCAGCAAACAATTATCACTGAAGGTTATAATTCAATGGGGACACGGAATATGTTTCAAACTATAGGCAATTACGCGAAGAAATAGTTTGTTTCTGACATAACCTCAAAAGTGTTCATAACTAATAAGAGTTGTAAGAAAGCAAAAATTATTAAAAACGACAAAAAAGTTAACTTCGGTTGCATCGAAGCTACCCTCCACAAATACGAAAGCTTCCAGACAAGAGCTTGATTTTGATCGGTCAGTTTGTTTGTTCGATATCGGCGGATTCGACAAATAAACAGCACTTTGGTGAGAAAAGGATGTATACAAAATTTCGGATCGATATTTCGGGTATATGCGGGCTGACGAACAGACKGAAGAACATGGCTAAATCGACTCAGGTCGTCATGCAGATCGTCTCTATATACATTTTATGTGGCCTCCTACGTTTCTTTCTGGGTGTTACAAACTTCCTTGCAAGCTATATATTTCTTATCGAAAAAWTAATTTAAAATTTACAATAAAATTTCAAATTGCTCCATTGGAAAGTGTAGCTATAAGTATTTTCATTGCAATTTTTAATTGCTTGCAAAGGTTTAGTAAATATGTAATTCTCTTTAAAGTTTTTAACAGATCGCTTCATTTCCGAAATTCTTTTTTTTTCGCTCTTTTGCGCTTTATTGAAGCAGTCTCCTTATTGTGTTTTATGTTGTGGCAATTTTCTCACCCAAACGTGTTGGTTACAAAGAGGCAGTAAACGTCAAAATGTCATCTTTGCCATTGTTTATTTATGCATATACATTAGTRACACTTGCTTCAATAAAAAAAGAGTGAAGGATAAATGCAAAGAGCGTTCATTAAGTCGGAAAAGACACTTCGAAGCAGAAAGAGCAAAGAAGTGGAAAATTAAAATTAAAAGAAGAAAAATCTCTTTCCGCATTTCACATCAAGTAGTGATACATGTACAAAAATCCAGTGAATTAATTTCAACAAAATCCATCCGTTTCGTTTTATTTCATACATTCATTCATTCCGATCAGTTCATGCTACGATTTTCCGCTGCCTCTAGTGGTAATTCGATGCCATGTTAATAAACTTTGAATTTAATATAGAAACGAGAGTGCAAAGGCATATATTGTACATAAACATACATATACGAGGAAAGTCCGATAAAAAAAAGAAAAAGAAAATTTTGGATAAATTGCTTTACGCTCTCAACATAAAACTACTGCACAAGCGTTAATAAAACTCCATTAATCCATTAAAAAAACATAGTTCAATAGGCAAGTAGGCCTCCGAGGAGGCGATAACCTCATCAATCGATTAAAATTTCTGTCCAGCTAGTGTTCCCGGCCTAAGTTTGGATAAGGTTGAACGAGTGAAGTGCACTGTTTCTACTTTGGTCTATAGTGTGATCAGTGTATTCATATTTAGTCAATCCCTTCGGATTGGGCTTAAATAGAGTCCAACAGGATGAAACAGTGAAGTTGCTTGAGGATTGCACTTGTTTTCTAGTGTGAACAAAGAAGACACTAATTACGGCAAATTACGGCATCTATATACCATCCGTATCGTACTCATTTTAGGCAACTGACCAACTTTTTTCAACACGCTTTTTTTAAAGGGTAGGAAAGACGGGRAAATGTTTAAGTTTATATGTTAAGTAGAAACCGTGTAGTTTACTAGGAAAAATAATTTATAGCTCGACCTCGCCCGACACTATAACAAAAACACTAATTTCATAAAAATAAAAATAGTTTTTTTTAATGATTCATTGTTTTCCCAAAAAAAAAAACATAATAATACATTAACTAAATTAATTTTTATATCATTAATATTAAATACATACCATGTTGTTCTAAATCCATAAAAAATATTTTCAAGAATTCCATTCACGCAATAAAAAAAAACACTTGCAATTTCGATAGCAATGGAGAGTTTCGCGAATAAGCACATGCGACCTGAACGAAGTCTAGGTTTCGACTACTTGTGTGGCAATACAACGGCCTGAAGATCATTCATTTAATCGGTTCATTGTAGAACGGTTATGTAGGTACCAAAAAAATCAATTTTGAGTACCATCGCAGAAGTTTGTAATTATCAATTTTTGTCCGGTTTTTAGGGYAAATGCTCCGGTTTTCTTATGCTCAATATCATTTGTCTTCCGTACGTTCAATCGGCGGTCTGCTAATACGAGATCATAGACTTTTACTACGTTATTCATGTTAATATAAATTACCCAAGCTCTCTTTGATTTGATTTCTTAAGGCAAATCGGTTAAAATTGGTAATGGCTGTCTACGAAAATGTGCCTATCTTGCTTCAATAGTGCTATTGTGCTGTGAGGTTGAATACTTATTGGACCGTCCTTGTACGCAAATATTAGCATGGAAGTTTTTCTGCATTGCTTATGTTGCCATAAGAAAATACTTATTACTCTTCACTCGTTTTCTTTTTGTTGAACAATTTTTTTGCACACATTTCTTTAGCATTAGCTAAAATTCGTGCAAATCACTGCGTTCGCGTGCGTTGGTACCACACGGTACAAAACTGTTCCACGTACAGCACACACACATACATACCTATGTTCGCCAGTAACGGCAGTTTGTAGTGCCCACCACTTTTTCGTGTCGGCATTAAATGCCTATTAAGTAATTAAATCTTATTTCCGATTTATTTGTGTAATGGTTTTGYACACGGTTACAATAACTGTCATGCATATTCAATGGAATGGAGTGCAAATAAGCCATAATTGAACAACTTTGAAATACACGTATAGGCCGCTGGCATAAAAAGGAAATATTGCCAGTTGATCAACTCGATTGCTGCAAAATTTGTACGCATGGAAATATTAATATATGTAAATGTTGTTAAAATTTTTAGAGAACAAGCTACTTCCTTTCAACCTATAATTTATAGATAGAAAATCAGTGAGAGTGGTTTTGGCTGAATAATTTTAGTGACAGTAAATATTTATTTAGACGATTGAAAAATGAAAAAACTTACATACATCCTTATGTATGAATATATGATGCAGTGCTGGAAAAAAAAKAATGGAAACAACGTTCACTAGTGTTGTGAAAAACTCCTGTAACTTGCAAAAATCAAAGCCAGGGAAATACCTTAGGTGCAAAACTTCAACCAGAAGATCATACTCTAAGCAATTATATATAGAAATATATATATGTTTATACAATTATGTACATATAAATAGGTAGAGATATAAAATTATATATATCTAAGTATATACATATGTACATGTGACCGACTTGTTCAACATAAGGCTTGTTAGAAAAACGAAAATAATTATACATATTTAGTATATTTGAGTTCCCAACGATTGGAATTTAAGTGTACTCTGAAGAATCCACAAAAAGGAAGACCCCATAATCTGCGCCAACGGCCGTGGGATAAGCCTCTTCAACATTGCCTATAAGGTTTTATCTGTGTGGTTCTAGGTCTATGTAATATTAAATATATATAAAATATCAACAAACTGATTAGATCTTATCAGTGTSGCTTTAGATCTGGAAAATCAGCAACCGACCAGATATTCACCATGGAAAAGACCAGTGAAAAGAGAATCGACACACACCAGTTCTTCGTTGATTTCTCCGGACTGGATAAGGAAGCAAAGTAAATGGGTCTGGCAGTGAACGAAGACAAGACGAAATATCTCCTATCATCAAACAAACAGTCGTCGCACTMGCAACTTGGCTCTCACGTCACTGTTGACAGTCATAGTTTTGGTTGGATTATTCGTGCAAAATTGTATGCCGTTATATTAATTGGTCTTGATTTGTGCACTGGAAAGATAAATAATCAAATGGAATTTAAAATTTTTACATATGGGAAGTAGGCGTGATTGTAATACGATTTTATCCATTTTCGTACTGTGACATGCAAATTTAAGAATAATGCGACGGACTAAATTTAGTCGAAATCAGTAGAGCGGGTCCCGGTGAAGATCATAAGTTCCGAACAGTTTGAGGGTGGACTTTTGCAATGCCAGCTTCCTCTAAATTTATGGCGATAGAGACATCGAATATAATTATATTGTTCTTCCACAATTCCTGCCGTTTTCGACAGATGTTCTCACGCA